ATGAACATCAGTTCATGAAATAGATAAAGATGGAAAAATACAGAGATGAACAATGAGATTGGAGTGAAGGATTAGACTCAGAAGGGACAAAGAGACTGGCAGGTCCTGTGCCCCAGGGATTCAGGGTGATGACTTCCCTCAGACCAAGAGGTTGTTGTTGACTCTGCCAGATGGCCTCAGAGGTCATGGGGAAGGGAAGGTGGGCTGAAGATCTATGTTAGAAGGTTGTGGCATGAAGAATGCAGAAGAAAACTTTAAAAAGAATTTATGGGCTCCCTTTGAAGACATACTACTTAGGCCAATCAGTAGCCTAGTGTTTAATGCAGGTGAAACTCTCATGACTGACTATACTGTTCAAGTACCAGACTCAGTGGCTTGAAAAACACATGAGGCAGGTGTGTATACATGTTCAAAATCCCAAGAGGAGGATAAAGGAGAAGGTATTGTGGTATAAGCATCCCCATAGGGAGTAATTTATCACTTTCTGTTTTTCTCTTTTCTCTCGGTGAGTATACACACACTGTGGCAAAACTAAAAAGAAATAATAACAACAACATCAACACAACAACTCTGATCAAGCTTTGCGGTCTTACTGTTTCCTTAAGAACATAACAGTGGAATGAGAGATTTGACATATGCCCTTCTCACATTTTATAGACTCATTAGTTCATCTTTGTATTATTATTCTCTTCCCCTTCTCTAGTAATATCCTAATATATTTATATAAATACAGCTGTCTATCAATTCAGTGTTGTATCTGAAGAGTGAATTCTGTAACACCAGGAGTTCTTGCACCCTGAAGGATTCTCAAGAGGTACTACAAATGCAATTTGATGACCCAGTTACACTGTAACCATCCCTGCTCTTTAGAGGACAGTGGCCTAAAGGTGGATATTTGGGGTCATGAGCCTATAAGTGCTAACAGAGCTGGGAAAGTGGGTGAGAAGCTAGCAGGAGTGCATTATGGGAATAGGAAATGGCCCTAGGCTTGAGGGTGTACCCTGTGACTGGGTATTAATAGAACAGCCCAGATATGAAACTGAGGGGGAAAATCCAAGGAGGGGACGCCAGGAGAATCCATAAGGGCTCATCAAAGTTAGCTTTGTGTCCTAAAGGGACAGTGTCACAAGTGATCAATGTCAAGCTAACTGATCCCAGAAGAGGAGCTGACTGAGACAGCATCATCTTGTTCATCTTCCTTAACTTTTCTAAAACACATTTACTTCCTATAGACATTTTTACCCATGTTCTTTCTCTTAATCTAGTTACTTACAACTCCCGAAGGAAAGGGACCCTTCCCAACTGGCCTACAGTGTACCCTGAACCCCATTGATGCAAGAGAGAGCTGGGTAATCAGACCCAACACCCATGCTGGTTCTCTTCCAATACTCACAAAGAATTAGAGACATGGACACAGAGAGGATATAGTGAAGTGGAGTGCCTTAAGAGAGGGAAGGAAGAACAGAGCTCCCAAGCAGGGAGCAGATCCCAGATAGGTTGCAAAAGAGGAGCTGGAGGTGACGAGTTTTTATCTAGCGCTCTGAGCAATGGGCTGACTTTCTGATAAGGAAGTACAAGATTTTTCTTAATGTGAAGTAATCAATGATGTCAACAGACTACACTCTCCACTACTAGGGGTCTGGGTAGTTAATATTTTATCTTACAAATGAACTAGGGTGGTTCCCTTTTTGTTCTCTTATACACGGTTCTTGCATTCTTCTAGCTTTTCTCGAGCAGAACAGACCCTGATAGTTCCTCCTTGGAATATAATATTCATAAGGACGTGAACTCAATGGCTATGTTGGCTTCTCAAACAGGACAAAACCAACTCTGGCAGTAAGCGGTGCTCTGTGTGGGCAAACGGTGAGAACTAATAATTGATCTCTAATGAGAAGATTAATTATTTTTGTTAATGGCTCAAATACAATGACTCCATCTCATCTCCACCTTTCTGGTCCATGGACCCTGTCTCTATCTACATAACCAGAAATCTGACTCCTATCTCACCATGACCACAACCAATGCCTGGCACATGCAGGAAATGGTATGGAAGGATGATACCATATAGTCGATCTCCCAGGTCAGACACAGCAAGGCTCTGAGTTCCTGATACTCTCTTGCTATGGAAGGAATCATATCCACCACCACCCCCCATTATATATTTATAATCAAATCCTACTGTGTATTTAGAAATTGGGTCTATGAAGGGAATTAAGGTTAAATTAAGTCATCTTCCTTGGATTCTGCTCTTTTTTAGCACCCTCTGATCTTCCCCCTCCACGTGTTACACTCCCCTCTTTCCCCAGATCCCAGACTAGATCCCACTCCTCCAGAGCAGGCTAAGGTAGCCCAGTCTCCCACCACCCACTGCCACTCCCCCAAGGCCCCTTCCCTGAGTGAGTGCACCGGATCCTGTCTCTTCTCTCAAATTTCTTGCTTGGTGGCTGACATTAAGAAGCAGAGCTGGGGAACCAGCAGTTAGCGTAATGGCTATGTTGCTGGACTACCACGTAGTCGACCACGGTTCACGTCCTGGACCCGGTGGCTTAAAACTCATGCCGGGTGCGTATGCATGCGTGCCCAAGATCCTGAGAGGAGAATGAAGGAGAAGGGATTGCGGCATGACCATCCCCCCTGGGGGGGGTGATTTCTCACTTTCTGTCCCTATGTCTCTGTCTGTCTGGCAAGTGCACGTGCCCTATAGTGAAAACCTCTCCAAAAGAAGAAAAAAAAAGGTTTATGGGAAATGTGTATCATGAAGAGAAAGCATATGGTTTAAAAAAATTAAAAAATAAAAAGAAGCAGAGCTGGATCAGGGAAGGCACAGCTGGCTGAATTTGGCTTTCTAATACATCTAATTAAAGATGTGTTCATAATTCTTCTCAAAGGAAACCCACTTGGGAGGAAGGCCCAGCCAGGGCACCATAGGTCCCAAGGACAGTTTCCTGACACTGGAGAACAGTGGGAGAACATCTCTGTGCATCCTTCAATAGTCACCTGTCATGAATCTCCTTTGTCTGACTATTTCCTGACCCCTGAGTATCAGCCCCATGAAGTGAAGTCCTGGATAAGCAGCAGATCACATGGAGTGCAGTAGGAGGTGGTGACTGCAGGACCTGACTCATGGTTGAGGGACCTGATGTTGGGTATCCCTGTGCACACGTAGGTCACAGAGACTGTTGCAGCTTCCTGTGGAGGAGGCTCTGTCTGCTCAGCATCCCTGGACCCCAGAGACTCTCCTTCTCTGAGCTTCAGGAGGAAATAGCAGCTCCCAGGACTCAGGAGAAAAAGCAGCTGGAGGGAGGGGACCATCTCCTGGAGTTGCTGTGAGACTTGGGCTTGGGGCACACTGGCCTAAGACCAACCACAAGCTGTGAGGCCACACAGGGATCTGAGTCAGTCTGAGACTCTGTGATGGGCATAAATGACATCAGTCACCTCCGTCCTATTCCACCATCTCCCTGGAGAGACCCAGAGACCTGAGGACTGACTTATGTCACTGCAGACATGACCAGATTGAGAAGATACTAGCAAAGAATCCAGTAAGAACATTGACAAAAAGGAGAAGGCACTCTCATATACTCTGGTTCTAGGGAAACATGTTCTGGCTAAAAATGCCATCAGAGGTCACCCATAGCTACACACGGACCCAGGCAGTGTGGCAGTGAGGGCACAGGCAGAGAGCACACAGGAGAGGTTCAATCTCACTTCCCATGGTCTAGAGCCTGGTGTGAGGGCCAGTGTTACCATGATAAGTCCCACAGTAATAGTTGGCCTCATCCTCAGGCTGCAGCCCAGAGATGTGCAGAACACCTGCATTGGCTGAGGTGTCCTTGGATCCAGAGAAACAGCTGGGGACCCTAGAGCCCCGGTGCTTGTCTGAGTCTGACTTGTAGCTCAGGAGATACTTGGAGGACTCCCTGGATTCTGCTCATATCACTGTACACCATAGCTACCAATGCTGAAGCCATGTCCACAAGGCCCCTTCCTGCCTGCACAGTGAGAGAAGCCAACAAGAGGAGAAGAGTCCAGAACATGGTGGACACAGTCTCTCATCCCTACATGGCTGGGCTGCCCCAGGCCTCTTTTTCCTCCCACCCTCTGCCACAAGAGGGGCTCTTCATGCAAATATGTGTCTATACAGTGACTGCTCAGCCCCCTCCCTGAGCCCTGGCCTGGGGCTCAGCTCACACTGCAGACTGAGGGGAGGGAGATTTGGTCAATCACTTGGGGAGTCCTGGGAAGAAGCACCTGCTGGGACAGCACAAAAGGCCTTGTTCAAGGGACTCTGCCAGTTAGAGAGGACACAACTGCTGGGTCCCCATCAGGGAGCACAGGGCCATCCCCAGGCCCAGGGTCCTCTGAGGAACTTAATAACTGGGCAGTACTGCAGTGCTCCCTGTTGCTCACAGGCACAAAGGGCCACCAGACCCAGAGATCTAGGGGCCTACCTGGTTCTTACAGTTCACCAGGCCCTGTCTGTGCTCATTGCAAAGTCTCTGATTTCTACAGGGTGACTGTGTAATCTTACCGTCTCCCTCCCAGCAGGTCCAAACATGTGCACAGGCAGAACAAGGCCTCAGCCCCCAGTACAGTCTAGTAAAGGCTTCCTGGAGCACACGTGTCTTCAGGGCAGTGTCACAGTTTGGGACAGGTGAGCAGAGTGAAGGGCCTGTGGGGGCCTTAGGGACATGTGTACATGATGATTTCCCAGGTAACTCAAGTGCTCAGTGTCTGCATCAGGGAAGGAGAGCATCCTGCGTCCCTCATGTAGTGAGCACACAGCAGAGCAGCCCAGGTGGCAGAATCTGAGTGCTGTCTGCATCACTCTGTAGGTGCCTTCCCAGGACTGCTCACAGGAAGCTCTTGGTAGAAATCAGACACGCTGATTCTCTGCTTGTAAAAGTATAACAGAGAAATGGTCTTCGGGAGGGCAGACACTCCTTGGGAGCCATGTGTCAGTCATGGTCATGGAACAGTTTTTCTCCCACTTCTTCATCTCAATCACTGTGCTTTACTGGAATGGGGCCTCTACTGCTATGAGATATGCCACTGATGTAGTCAGCCTCATCCTCAGGCTGGAGGTTGGAGAAAATCAAGTAGCAGTTGGCCCCAAAGCTGGAGCCCAGGAAGTGATCAGGGATCCCATCCTCCTTCCTGTGGCTTCCATCACTGTTAAGCTCCATCACATACCGAGGGGCCTTCCCTGGCTGCTGCTGGAACCACTCGATGCTGAAAGTGTTGTGTTCCCTGCTCAGAGTGCAGATGAACTTGGCCAAGGCTCCCAGGGAGGCAGATGTAGATGACAACCGAGTCAGCACAGGCTGGAAGAGGGACCCTGAAATGCAGACACCCATTATGGCATGGGGAAGGTCATTTCTCCTGTGGCTGGGGGGGCTTTCAGGAGCAGGGATCAGGATGCTGAGGAGAGTTTTGACCTGCGCAGTGGAGAAGGAGGAAGGAGAGTGGGGTCTTGGCCATGGTACAGATGTCCTGGAGCCGTGCTGAGACAGACATGCTGCAGGGCTCTCTTATCCTCCCTCTAACTCAGAGCATGATTGAAAAGGGTGTTTTATGCAAACCATCTCTTTTCTCCCTTTCTGTCCAACCTCCTCCCTCAGTCTATGATCTGTTCCAATGACTGGTGTCAGTTCTGAGAGTGGGAGAGCCTGTGCCTGACCTGAGGCTTCCCAAAGGCTGAGAGGGGACTCAGCCTCTAGACCCAGTAAGCCCTGCACAGAGACCAGGAGATAGGTGTTTATTTTCCTTCTAAGAGCTGCAAAGTCCCCTCAGTGCAGGTCCGCAGTGACCCCGATGCCCAGGCCCATCATGTCTGTGACCAGATGGCAGGAGGTCTCCAGGGCTCCTGCCTGTACTTGGTCCAAGGGCAGAGCGAGGCTCCTCTTAAGGGGAAGCCTCTTCCTTTCTCAGTCCTTAGTTTCCAATTGTGTCTTCTCATGGGAGTAGAACATAGGACTCTCCACAGCTTGTAAGGAGTCCTGGGAAAGGGGTGTCTCATATACAAACCTCAGGGGGAACCAAAGTGCTGCAGCCAACAACAAGACTGTCCAGCATGACCTCACCTCACTGGCTGCTCAGGAGCCCGGTATTTCTTTCTACTTGGTCCCTCTCCAGCTGCACACATGGAGCAGTGTGGAGAGGGCTGGAAGAACCCAGAGCATGCCTGGTGGTTCTCAGGACTAACTAGGAATGAGAAAGACCCCAGGAATAGAAGAGCATGGTGCTATAAGGTGTGGAAAGTAAAAGTGGTTGACTTGAGGCATCTGATGTCAGGCAGGGATTAGACAGGTCAAAGAACGAAGAAGGGGAGTGAGTGACAGCTTCCAATGGAAGATCTGAGAACATGCCCCTAGCTGTTCCAATGTAAAGACCTCGGTAATAAAGAGAGGTCACAGGAGACAATGGGGTGGTAGGAAAGGGAGGAAGACCCAGGATGTGAGCAGAAGAAGCAGAAATCAGAGATGGAGAAGGGGGGGTCTGTGAGGATGGTCCTCATTGAGATAAGACTGGAGGGGACAGCACTAGGGTGCCTGGGCACCTGGCAGAGTGAGGACAGGCCCAGGTGTGGCTCATTGTGTTTGCTTTCATTTCTGTTCTTATTTCATTTTTTTTTCTTTGGGAAAGGTTTTCGCTACGGGGCGTGTGCACTCGCCAGACAGACAGAGAGAGACAGAGACAGAAAGCGAGAAATCACCCCCCAGGGGGGATGGTCACGCCACAATCCGTTATCCTCCATTCTCCTCTTGGGATCTTGGGCACGCACACACACATGCCCAGCATGAGTTTTAAGCCACTGGGTCCAGGACACGAACCGTGGTCAACTACATGGGAGTCCAGCGACATAGCCATTACACTAACTGCTGATTCCCTCTGTTCTTACTTCTTAAACACCATGATTTTTTCCCAGCTCTCAGTCCTCCTCTCCTCTCTGCAATCCCCCTGCTCCAAATGTGGCTTTTTCTTTAATTAAACTCATTCTATCTGTGAGAGATTTCTCTTTGGTATCTACCAATAAAGAGCTTTGCTTTGTGTTTTTCAGTATTCTTATGAATATGAAGATAATATATGAACGTTGATTTGGGGGGAATACTCATTTTGTAAGAGCAGACTCTCAGGTTCCACTGCAGAAACACTGACTCAGGATACAAATTTTACAGGATGCCCAAGTGGCTCGTGGGCACATGACTGTGGGAGCAGCCCTAGTGAAAGTTGCCCCAAGAATGTTTAGGTTGTGACCTGACTTTCTGGCCTCAGTCTATCCTGCTTCCAATCATCCTGGCCAGGACACTTACACCCTCTTTTTCACTTTGGGTATTCCACGTTGGTCATGAGAACTCCAAGCCTGCATGGAAATGGCAGCCTCTGCTCAGGAGTCACAGATCCACAGACATAGTTGATGTCCTTCATTAATATCAACAAGGCTTATACTTGTTCACATCTTCCTATCTCGAGAGCAGTGAAGAACTGCAAGTACTTAAAACTAAAATTTTGTATGCGTACTTACTTAATCTTAGCCATATTAAGCAGTCATTATATATTTGTGCATAATAAGACATGAAATTCCCTGTAGTTAAGCTCCTGTGACAATAGCAGGGTATGAAGGGTAGTACAGGAGCACAAATGAGATCCTATTTGTGGAAAAATGAGAGGCCAAGATGAAGGAACACACGCTAATTCAGATCTGTGGTTCTGCTGATTGTGTGGTTGCCACTGTGCTAAGGCAGTAATAATCATGTGCCACAATCTGAGAGCCCTAAACAACAGACATGTACTGTCCTATGGTTCCGGAGGCTCGGTTTCTGAATCCACAGGACAGTGCCATGATCTCCCTGAGAGCTCTTGGGGAATCCTTCATCCTCTCTTCTGGGCAACACCAGGAGGGCCCTGACTGGCAGCTGTGTAACTACCCTCTCTACCTCCTTCTTCACATGACTTTCCCTGCATGTCTCTATTGTCACAGCTACTTTCTAATAAGGTTATTGGTCATATTGGGTCAGGAGGTCACTCTACTGCAAGGTGGCCTCATCCTAACTAATAGATTTGTAAAAACTTAATTTTCAAAATAAGCTTGTGTTCTGTGGTAGAAGGGGTAAGATGGGACCAGCAGTTGGCATCATGGCTATGTCACTGGACTCCTATGTGGTCGACCACAGTTCTAGTCCCAGACCCAGCAGCTTAAACTCACACCAGGCACTTGTGCATGTGTGCTCAAGATCCTGAGAGGAGAATGGAGAAGAGATTGAGGCATGGCAATCTCCCCTGGTGGGGGGTGGGGGCGATTTCTCGCTTTCTGTCTCTGTCTTTCTGATGAATGCACATGCCCTATAACAACAGCAACAAAAAAAGTCCTCTCCAATTTTCAAGCTGTTGGGACTGGGATTTGAACCCCATAATAGGCCATGTGGACCTGACTCCCTTAGCCATTAGGTCATGAGGCTAGCCCTGGGCTTTTTTCTTGGAGAGGTTTTTTGCTCCAGGGTGTGTGTGCTTGCCAAAAAGACAGAGACAGAGAAACAGAAAGTGAGAAATCACCCTCCAGGGAGGATGGCCACGCTGCAATCCCTTCTCCTCCATTTTCCTCTTGGGATCTTGGGCATGCACGCACACACGCCTGGTGTGAGTGTAAGCCACCGGGTCCGGGACCCAAACCATGGTCAACTACATGGAGTCCAGTTATATAGACGTGCCAACTGCTGGTCCCGGGCCTCTTATAAGAACTTTGCACTTATGACCAATCACCTCCTGGAGACACCATTTTCTTATACCATCACATTGGGAGTCAGGATTGCAACACAGAATTTTGGTGAGGACAGAAACACTCAATATGATAAACCCTATTTGCTAAGAGTAGCTGTTCCCTCATTAACTGTCCCCTTTATCAAGCTTTCTGGGATAAACCCTTGCTGTTAGAGTGGGGAAATAAGGACAAAAGGAATTCATTGTATCCAAATTCTTATCTCAGCTTGGGATCTTTCAAAAGCAGACCCAGAGCAAGAAGTCTGCTAAGCTCGTTCTAGGATAAACTGGTATGCATGGAACTCAATATAAAACCTCATCAATATTGGCCTTGAAAGACACTAGGTCCCAGAATTGGTTGGCCCAATGGCTCCTCTACTTAGCAACTGTTTCTCAAGTAGCAGAAACAGGTGCACATGAGTGCTCTCGAAGGTGGGGGGTCATCTTGATCCACTTAACCCAGGCATTCTGGGCTGGAGATTGCAGGACCCAAACTCCCCCAACATACACACACACACACGTGGAAGTCATAGATGGGCACAGGCAGATGCTCCTTGTCAGTGGCAGTGCAGGCTCCCATCTCTCCAGGGTTCCATAAGTAGGGCCACTCTGACAGTCGGAGTGGACCTCCTGGAGAGGATAGAGCATCTGGAGAGATCTCAGAACCTGCTTCTTGGGCATCTGAGACATCAGTGCCCATTTCCCACCAGAGACCAACTGGGTGAAAATTCCCACCAGCAAGACTGAGGAAGCCAACATCTTCCAAGCAAGGCCCTGGGCCATCCTAGCACACAAGGTCATTTTCTGCTCTACTCCATAGCCCCCACGTCACTCCAATCTCTAAGAGAAGCCCTTGACTCACAGGACAGTCCTTGAATGCATCTGCACATTTATCCTGCATGGGGTGCTGGGGACAGTGAACATAAGTAGATGCTAAAGCTTCCTCCCCAGAGGAAAAAGTCTGTCTGCTAGCATGAGGTCAGGTGGTAATGAGAGGGGGAAGTGAGGGAGGGGAGGGGGCACGGAGGAGCCAAGGGCAAAGTTTTGAAGTGGGGACATGTTTTGTCACAGGACAGCAGAGGGTCCAGGGCCCGCTGCTCCGCATATCCCATACCTGTGATGATTCCTTTGGATACTTCTTCCTCTCACTGTCTTGTACTTGCTCAAGTCCTACTCACAGGACCTTCACAACTCAGCTCACATGCCACCTCCTCCAGGAAGCCTTCCTACACTTCCTCCCAAGTTCCCCATCATTCTCTGTGCTGTGCCACCCAGACTCCTTCAGCTATTGGCCGTCATTATACCATCACATTGGGAGTCAGGATTGCAACACAGAATTTTGGTGAGGACAGAAACACTCAATATGATAAACCCTATTTGCTAAGAGTAGCTGTTCCCTCATTAACTGTCCCCTTTATCAAGCTTTCTGGGATAAACCCTTGCTGTTAGAGTGGGGAAATAAGGACAAAAGGAATTCATTGTATCCAAATTCTTATCTCAGCTTGGGATCTTTCAAAAGCAGACCCAGAGCAAGAAGTCTGCTAAGCTCGTTCTAGGATAAACTGGTATGCATGGAACTCAATATAAAACCTCATCAATATTGGCCTTGAAAGACACTAGGTCCCAGAATTGGTTGGCCCAATGGCTCCTCTACTTAGCAACTGTTTCTCAAGTAGCAGAAACAGGTGCACATGAGTGCTCTCGAAGGTGGGGGGTCATCTTGA